AAAAGAAGTTCAGTCCATTTTAGGACAAGTCCCCAAATAGTTTGGAAATATCACTTCACCCCCAAAACTCTTTTCATATGACCCCTCCAAAAGTTGGGTATTATCTGAAAATAGAGAAATGCAAAAGTTTTGAGGTTAAGTGAAATTTTCAAATTTTTTGGGGCTATCTCAAAGTGGGCCAAATTTCTTGATTGTTTTGTGAAATTTTCTCTTTTTAATGTAATATACAATATTTCTCTATTGGCAAAGTTTACTCGAGTTTGGAGTATAAAATTTTCTGGACATTGCACAGAATTTGCTGTGTCAATCTGAAGTTCCTCAATTACAAATCATGAAGTTTATCTGATTGTTTTATATAATCAATCATTCAAGTTAAGTAATTAATTCTTCTGTATGTGTTTTGGATGTATCCTGAAAAGATATTTTTATTAGAGCAAGGACTTTTACCTGAATAGGTGCATGTTTGCTACTATCTAATAGTAATATTTATGTTTTTTCTTCTCTCTAAATTCCTGCTTACTATCATGGAATTGTTATTACACGCAGAATATCTCCAATGGGCATGATTTTCATTCCGTGCAACAAAGGTTTGTACTCCATGACGCCCTTAAACTTCAATTATCCTCGATTTTGATAAGTCTAATGATTGAAATAGATAATGAATATTTGGGGAAAATTTTTAAAATGTTTTCAAACTAAATGTTGTACATAACGTCATCCTTTACTTGGCTTTGTGCAGGTTATAGCCATAAGCCCGAAGAATACGCCTCTATGGAAGACATAGCAAATGGAGTCAAGGTGTTGGCGCTGACTCTTGCCAAATTATCTGTAGATTGATCTGAGACATCCAGCTGCTTTCACTGTTCAAGTGCTTGTGATGCTGATAGTCTCCAGTAATGCATAGCTCCAAGCACGGATGCTCATCATAGCAATAACAATGGAGATATTTGTATGTATTCTTCAATCAATAAAACATGTACAGAATACGAAGTCAATAAGCCATAAAGCTGTTCAAATCTAGGAGTTCATATCGTCAAGCTTCAGAACCTCCAGTCTTCCTTCTAGGCTGTGGAAGTTCATGAATTTCAGAGTGATTGTGAATTGGAAGGAATGTGATGCAATGTGGTATAATGTTAGCTAAAAAAATTGTTAAATAAAAACTTGTTCGATGCGTATACAATGGCTGTGATTTAGAAAGATGATCACCCAATTTTTTTAGAAAGAAGATGAGAGGATAACAATTCATCTTATTTTTCTTAATTTTGTCGCGATAGTAACAAGCAGGTTACTATTAGCCTCATCTTTTCTTCTGTGCAGTAGATACGGACCGAGCACGCTTCGATGTTCGCTGCTCAGCTGCTGAAGTATGGACAAATTTTCAAAACCATCCTTTTTTAAAATTTATTTATAAAAAACGACTTATTTTAACTTTAATTACAAAAACAGACCCAGTTGGATGAAATTGGGTCTGTTTTTTGAAAAAAAAATTCAAACTTCACGGGAGTTGAACTCCCATGAAGTTTTGTTATGAGAAAAAACTTCACGGGAGTTCAACTCCCGTGAAGTTTGAATTTTTTTTTCAAAAACAGATCCAGTTTCATCCAACTGGGTCTGTTTTTGTAATTAAAGTTGAAAAGGATCTTTTTTTGGGAATAAATTTCAAAACCGGATGGTTTTAAAAATTTGTCCGCTAAAGTATGGATGTCTCGTGTAAGCTCAGGGCTTAATGATGATACCTGTTGCTTGGACACTGAAAGCAGCCAGCTCAGATTGCTGTTTGCGAGAGTCAAACGCCATGGAGAGGGCACTTCACGGGACACAAAAAATCCTTTCAGACAGAAAGAAAGATTGTATTCTCTGGGTTACGAGTCTAATGATGGTTCTGTGTAATTTTGGCCAGCATAATTGGGATCCTCGAAACCAATAACAACACCAAGTCATGAATATAATCAGAGTGGCCTCTTTCTTGTTTAGATGCATCATAGTGGTCTCTTTCTTGTTTAGATGCATCATATTTATTCTTTAATGGATATTATTGATCCATCTCTCTCTGTTTTCTCTTTAATTTTTTTTTTCTTTCCTTTCCTTTGGTGCAAGGAACCGAGGCTTAGTACCAGCCAAGTAAACACTAGGGTATGCACCTCCTTTTCACAGTCCACAAACAGGTGAATATATAGCATAGATGTTGTAATGCTTAATAATTAGAAGTTAGGGATAGACATGTCACATACATGGATCAATCCTTGGTCTTTTGAGCTGAGGTTCCAAGCCCCAACCACTATGCCACTTGCGGGGGTCTCTTCTCATCCAGAGACATTACGTAATGTTCTATGAAGGGAAGTAGAATCAAATGGCCAGGGCCCCTTGGCCCCATCTAGAAATAACAATGAAAATATGTAAATAAGAGCTAACTAGTTCCCCAGATTTTCATATTTTAAAATTAGTCCCTTAAATGTTTGAAGTGTTTTGAAGTAGTCTCCCAAATCTTTACATTTTGAAACTAGTCCCCCAAATCATGGAAGTTGTTTAAAATTAATCTCCCAGATCAGTTAAAATTAAAGTAATTATCCACTCCAAATCAAATAACTGCTATGGAGACCAATTTAAAATTAAATGGCTATAAGAGTTGGGGACTAATTTCAATAATCTGGGGAACTAATTATATCAAAAATAAATTTATATATTTGTGATACTAATATCGAACTACATGCGAGTTGGGAACTGCGGCTACGAAATAAACCCAACAATCCACTTTTTCTCTTCACCCTTGCTCATCGATTCCTCTCTTCTCACTCGCCCTCAATTCCTTAAATTTAAATAAAAGATGAACATATGATATGATTGATGCCTTGTATTGAAAATATATATACTTTATTTATAACATTGACGAGAAAGATGTCATAAAATTATTTTAATAAAAGAAGGTAATTAAGAAGAGTGATATTATAAACACTATAGATAAAATTGAATCATGATTTCGAAAGCTTAATCGTGTAATAATGCTTAGATGTTAAAAATATGTCATCGTTGTTTAATTATTTTTTGGACCTCCTGTTGATGGTCTACGCTCGATCACCTTCTCATTCATAAGGAAAGCTCACCCCACAAAGTATCGCTACTCACCCCCACACTGTTACCATCTGGGCCACTTTATAGAATCTCAATTTTGTAAAAAGATATAAAAAAAGGGTGAGAAATGTGACTAGCTCTGTCCCAAGAAAGAGTTGGAAAGCACACATCAAAGAACAATTTTTCAAAATAGCCTCATTTTATTTTATTTTTTTTATTTTTAAAATCCACCGATTTTTTTTTTATTTATCAAAACCAACCCGTTTTTTGCCACTTAAGTCTAATCACCGTCCTAAATAGTCGGGGTTGCCTACCCCGACTATTTAGGAGTGCGTTAAACCCCAATTAGAAGCCTAAAACCCTAAAATTTTATGTCCTAAATAGTCGGGATTAGCAACCCCGACTATTTAGGACGGTGATTAGGCTGACGTGGCAAAAAACGGGTCGGTTTTGATAAATAAAAAATCAGTGGATTTTAAAAATAAAAAAAAAGAAATGAGACTGTTTTGAAAAATTGTTGCATATCAAAAACAGATGAGAACTAAAAATAAATAAAGAACTTAATAATCAATTTTGTACTCTACCTGCCTCTTCTCCGTGAAGAGAGAGAGAGAGAACAACAACCCTTGTGTTTCTCACGGGACTCAAACATGGACTCATAAATCTCTTCCCCTTTCTACTGTCTCTACAAAAGTGACCATAAACAGCCGACCTTTTGGTGGGGGCACCTACTGAATATTAAGGTACGTTGGGTCGCTCTCAAAATCTACATCCACAGTCTAAATTACCGCAAATAGGTGGGTTTGGTTGGACGCGGGGACGTAAGTGTCGATTAGATGTATGACCTTTTTCTGGTGTAATATATATGGATAAATGAAGGCATGCGTAAAGCAAATTTTAGCTATTTTTTCTCAAAAATAATGAACGAATTTTCACGGACGGCCCAGATAAATAATTTCGGGTTGATGATTACGAGGACGTGATTTTGAAGGTGTCTGGGGAGTTTAATTATCATTGTTGATGCCGATCAACTAATTAGAGGACTGATCATGATTTAGAGGGAGTTTACGATCTCTTTTATCTCTTTTGATGGATGATTATGACCGCGGTCGAAGATTCATGCACATAGTAACCCCATTAGGAGATCGGCGTTGAGTTCCCCAATAGGTCATCCGACGCTAAAGTCAGTTATATATTGAATACTTTTTAAGATATGAATTTAGAGTGTTCTCCAGTTCCGATCGTTTATATCTTCATGCAGAAGAAATGACCCCAATTTATAGGAATTTCTAGGGGAATATTTGGTAATTTGATTAGGTTGGATGCAGGAGGTTTGATCAGGCGGCGCTTTACATGTGTCAATCACAGAGCATGAGAGTCATCCTTGTGTTATAGCGACATGGATAGGGAGGTTGAAGTGCTGACGTCGTCCAAAGAGTCATCATGACTCCGGCCGGGGAGGGGGGGTGGTAGACCAGCCAAACATAACACGTCTACCTTAGGGGGATTCATTATACTTGACAAATTTTGGGGTACAACACTGGCCCCTTTTACTTGGACTTGGACTAGAGAAGCCAAGTTCGAGAGAAATAACGGTTCTTGTCATTTTAGAAAATTCGGGTTGCCTTTCTTGGATAGTTGCTGCAATGTGGTGGGGTGACGTCAACAGAGATCATGCAACAATTTGGTTATCGAGCGGACGCTTTAGTTATCGAGCGGAGTGGCACTTTGGTTATCGTTATCGAGCAGACGCTTCAGTTATCGAGCGGAGTGGCACTTCGGTTATCGAGTGGAGAGAAATAACGGAGTGGCACTTTGGTTATCGAGCGGACGCTTTAGTTAATGAACCATTGCTTTCATGTTTATAAACTGTCAGCGGTCTTTTAGGTTACGAGCCGACTATTCGGATCTACCACAACCATTGCTTTCATGTTTATAAACTGTCAGCGGTCTTTTAGGTTACGAGCCGACTATTCGGATCTACCAC